GGGCGCCGCCACTGCCAAGCCGTCCAGCACGCCGCCCTCGCTCTGCTCCAGCCCTGCCAAGCCCCTCTCGCCCGGCGCGCAGCCCCAGCAGGTGCCGGTGAAGCCGCCACGCTCCGCCATCACTGGTCCCTCCGTCGACAGTGCTGGCTCCGAGCTGGCACAGCAGAAGCTGGAGGAGACGAGCGCGTCCCTGGCCGCCGCGCTGCAGGCCGTGGAGGAGAAGATCAAGCAGGAGGACAGTCAGGCGGCAGAGTAAGGGGGCGTGGGGCGGCTGGTGGTCCCAGGGGAGGGCACAGGGCTGCGCTGTGACACCGAGCTGCATGGGGATGGGGGGTCGGGAGGCCATGAGCATCACAGGCAGGGGGTCAGGCTGTGCCGCCATGGTGGGAGCAGGGCCATGCCGGGGGTGACGTGGGGATACTGTGCCAGATCATTATGAGGCCCTGGCTGGAGCTGTGTTGGGGAGGTGATACTGGGGGACACCATGCTGGAGTGGCAGGGGGTGCACCAGTGGTTGCATTGGAGAGGTGACAGTGGGGGACACTGAGCTGCGGCATCATGGGGCTGGGCTGACCCCAGCTGTGCAGTGGCACTGGGGTCTGCATGGGGAGGTGACAGTGGGGACACGGTGCCGAGCACTGCAGGGCACAGCGGGGCAGAAGGGCCGCGCTCGGGCCAGAGGGGACTGTGCGGTGCTGCCATCCTGTGCATGGCACTGACCCGTCCCCACCACTTGCCCAGCTCGGCTGTGGAGTCGAAGAGCACCGTGAGCATCCTGGACGACATCGGCAGCATGTTCGATGACCTGGCGGACCAGCTGGACGCCATGCTGGAGTGAGGGGCGCCAGGGCCCCGCGAACCTCAGGGCTTACGTGGGCACAAGGGCACAACGATCCACGACTCCCCCCGGCCCCGCCGCCCTCCCCTGTCCCGTTTGTACAGCCGTCCCCTCCTGGACATCCCGTCCCTCGGGGTTTGCACAAAGAAGAAGATACCTCAGGATTGTGCTCACGGACTCGGCGCCAGCTCCGGCAGGACTCCCTTTTGCAGAAGCAAAAAAAAAAAAAAAACCCACAAACAAAAAAACAACAGAAGAAACAAAGCAACACGCCCCGGACTGGAAGGCCCCCCCAACGGCCTCTTTTTCAGGTGGCCGCCCCGTCCCTTCCGCCCGGGTGCCCTCGGCCGCCGCGCCCGTGCCCTGCCGGCCCCAGCGCCGCGGGTCGCTGCAGCCCGAATGTAGCACAAGCCCTGCCCGGTGCAGTGGTCCCGGCGACGGCTCCGTCAGCGGCATGCCACGTGTCACCAATGGCGTTTGCTGGTGGCTGTGCTGGTGGCGGGTCCAGGTGGGCAAATGCACTTGGGTTTCTTTTCTCCTTTTTTAATTTTCCTTTTTTAATTTTCTTTCTTTTTCCGTCGTCGTTTGCTGGGGGCGGGCAGGGCGCGGGGTCCCGCCGTGGTGTTGCACCGGGCTGGGGGCTGCCCTGTGGAGCGATGCTGCCCGAGGGGCATGTGGGGGCCCGGCCGCGGGGCTCCCTTTCACGGGGGCTTCGCCTCGGGTGTGGGAAGGGGGTTTTGTTTGCGTTGGTTGCAAATTGGGGAGCGAACGCCCCGACTCGGGGCCCTTGGCGGTGTGGGCAGGCAGGCGGGGGGCAGCGGGCCGTGCCCCCGTCCCCCTGCCCAGCCCCTCCCCGCCGGGGGAGAGGACAGTGATAAGCTATAAAGAAGTATTAATTTATTGGAGGGGAAAAAAAAAGATATAAACCAGATTTCCCCCATCCCCAAAATAATAAAAAGAATAAACTTTAACAAATATATATTTAAAAGATTTAAAAATATTAGCAATTATATATAAAGCAGTTTAAAAGAAATCAAGAGAAAACTGGATTTTAGCTTGAGAAAAACTATTAGATTATACTAAGCTGTGTGTCTTGTGGCAAACTCATTCTAAGAGTAGCACAATATTTACCTTTTCTCTGGGTGGAAGGTACGTGCAAGCAGTTCTGTTCGGGTCTTTCCGTTGGGATTCAGTGTCACATCTTTATTTTTACACCATTAAGAACTCAAAGGATGTGCCTTGTTTTATGGAGGTTTTTGTTAATTCTTATACTGGAGGTGTTTCATTTCTTTTGGAGTGTCTTCAGGTTTTAGTTTTGTTTTGTTTTTTTTTTTTTTTGGCATTTGTTTGGTGTGCGCGTGTGTGGCTGTGTGTGTGTGTGTGTGCACGCGGGGGTGCGTGTGCTCGCGTGCGTTCTCCGGGACGCACCACTGTATATTCATGTATAAACTGGAGTTGGAGTCTGGTTCAGTCGCTTGAGTCCTGATGAATGCATTTTTTGCTTGTGGTTTCAAAACAAAGTGTTGCTGTTCCTTTCTTTTCTTGAGACGTACAGAGTGGTCTCTCCCTCCGCCTTCCTCTCCTTCCTCTCCCTCCCTCCCTCTCCCCCCCTTTCTCTCTCTCTCTCCCCCGTCTCTCCCGTTGTGGTCGCTGATCCAGATGTGTTTGGCACAACTTTGAAATTTCTTTAAAAAAAAAAAAACAAAAAAGACTTTAAAAATAACAAAAAAAAAAAATCACCCGCCTGAAAATATCTGTTGAAAAGGAAAAAATTATGTATCTAAAAAAAAAAAATCCATAAAGTTCTACATGATGGATATATACATATATATATTTTTTATGATTAAGTTATGGACTCTGTATCGTATCCCATCTGTCAAGCTATGCATCTTGGTGCTTCTCCCTGCTCTTCTGTGCTTAGATTTCACCTCTACTCGTCTTATTCTTCCTATTCTGAATAGTAGATGGCTCGTGGTGCTGTGAAGAAGTTTGCTCCTATACGAAGTCTGGCAACAAATATTTAAAGAAAAAATAAAAAAATAAAACCCCTGCCAGGCTGCCACCACTGTTTGTCTCCAAACAACATCAGCCATCACGTGTGATGGCTCCTGCCGCACAGCTGGGGCTGGCAGGCGGCCGTGAGGTCCCAGGCCGTGCCGGCACAGCAGGCGCATGGGTGCCGGATGCTGCGGTGCACGCGGGTCCTCGTGGCGTGGTCGTGTCTTGCCGGGTGTACGCGCTGCACGGCCTGAGGCCACCCTTGGGTGCCTCTGCCCTGGCCGGGCTGGGTGCCGGTGCTGGGGGTGCTGCGGGGTGTGTGGCAGCCTGGCTGGCTGGGAGCTGCTCTTCCCGTCCGGGTGCCCACTCCCAGCACCCTATTTTTCACAGTGGGTGCCGTGGCTGTGGCCACCCCTCCGAGGCAGCCAAGCGCGGCTCTCGGCAGCAGCCGCGGGGCGGATGGGCGCAGGCTGGAGGCAGGAGCTGCCGCAGGAGTGGTGCTGGCCGCCGGCTCCTGCCAAGAGCCTGCAATAACTCACGCTGGCCAGGAACAACTCTTTCCACTTTTATTGTCAATGAGGAAATAATCAAATCTATATTACAATCTTAAAAACAGTAGAAAATGTGAGTAAAAATGCAACGGAGGCTTTTTCTCTTTAATGTGGAGACCATTATTACAGGGTGGTGAACAATGGGTTTGTGTTACTTGACTTGAGAACTAGCTGTGGCGTAAAAATCGTACCTGGCTACTCAAGAAAACACCTCTTCCCAGATGGATCAGCCTGACATCTTGGCAGTAAAATTAAATGCTAGAGACAGAAAGGGGTCAGGGTCCCAACCCAGGGCAAGGCCTAATGCTCAGTTCTACCATTTACAAAGGGACCAGCCTCCCAGCGCTGCCGCCCTGGCCAGGCCGGCTCCCGCCTGTGACAGGCTGAGCCATTGAGTCCCATCACTGGCCAAGGGCTGCGCTGCATCTGCACTGGTGTCCTGTGGGGCTGCCCTGGCCTGGAGGCCCGGCTTTGCCCCAGCCCCGGCCCCAGAGGATGCTCCCCAGCTGGGGGGACACAGGCAGAGGAAGGCACCCTGCGGTGCGGAAGGCGCTGGCACCAGAACGGCTTCCTCTGCATTTCCAATCATAGACAGCAGATCTGAGGGAACATCTGGAGCATCCATGGGCCAGACCCGTCCTGAGAGCTGCCAGCCAGCGTCCTTGCAGGTGGGGGAACCGGCTGATGGGCAGCAGCAGGCAGTGGTCGGTGCGGAGAGGAGCTGCAGCAGTTATTTCGTAGTGGTGTTAGTCACCCAGCAGGCCGACGGAGGAGAGGAGTTTTTGGTCTTTCAGTGTGCAGGACTAGTGCGGCGCTCTCGCTAGCACGTCCAGACCTGCAGAAGAGAGACAACAGGAACCCATGGCAATGACTGTTCTGAGCAGCTCTGTGGGCTTCTCTTCATCCTCTTGTGGAGCTTCCCTTTGGGCTTCCAGCATCCACAACACCCTCTATCAGGAGTTAAACCTCCCACCCGTTGAGAACCATCCCTTGTTTGTTTGAAGATGGTTCCTAACTCATTTAATGCCCCAGTTCTGGTACTGGAAGACACCAAACCATCAAGGAGAAGCCTGAGGAAACCAACCTTTACAGTGCTGTCCACTGCGCCGGAGAAGAGGCGGCCCCTGGAGACTGCGAGGGCAGTGACGCTACCCTGGTGTCGCAGCAGCGTCTGAGTACAGATCATGTTGTCCATGCTCCACACCTACGGGCACACAGGAGGCGTGAGCCAAGCGAGCAGCACAGGGCTCTGGCACATCCCAAGCACTGGGAGGGACAGGGGATGCTGAGTGCCACAGGGTTCAAGCCACGTGACACAAATTAAATATGAGGCCACGTGGCATGCAGGAATGACGATCCCGTCCTCCCTTTCCCTCAAGGCTGTCTATGTTTTAACAACAGTCTTATACACAGATGCAGCTGCACATCCCTGGACACGTACCCTGAGAGACCGGTCATATGATGCACTGAAGACTTTGGTTTGATCCGGCGTGGAGATGACAGCGAGGGCGTAGACCGTACCCACGTGCCCAGTCAGCGTGCGGACTTGTTCCTTTGTCTCTATATCCCAGACCTACAGGAGGAGAGCAGGGCTCAGAGACTGCACTGGGCTGCAGACCACCAGCTTCCCTGAGAGGTTTTTCCACCTCCACGCACACCTCTAGGGTGGGTGCTGCACACCTATGCTCTGGGTGTGCCATAAAGGGGACCGGCAGAGCCAGGCCTCCATCTCCTTGCCCCTCTCCCCAGCCTCAAGCCAACAAATGCATCAAACCCCGCAGCCCTTACATGGATGAGGTTCTCATAGGTGCCACACACAATGTGGTGGTTTGTCACAGCGATGGAGTAGACGCTGCCTCCTGATGTCTGCAGCACGTGGACACACTCCAAGTTGCGGATGTCCCAGATCTGAAAGAGACAGCAGAGCAAAGGCAGGATGAGACCCATGCAGGGACCCCTCTCCAGGAGGGAGCTCCCTTGAAGCTCTTCTCCAGCCATGCACGGAGTCAGCCTGGCTCCACGTGTGTCCAGATCACATCTTTAAGGACAAATCTGTCCGGCTGGGAATGTTCGGTACTGATGAGCAAAGTCCTGCTATCTTATTTCGCTACCCAGCTTTGAACATCCAGGATGAAAAAGTTGCGGAGATTGCACACCGCGTGTGTGTGACTATGCACACACATGTGCGCACACACACAACCCAGTCCTTGATAGCACTAAAAGCTGATGCAGACAAATTATCAGGGATTTATTAACACTGAGGAGGGAAACTTCAAATTCTCTTGTGTCACCCAGATGCTGAGAGGTGAACTATTCATCAAAGCCTGAGCCAACACAGATGAGGGCATCTCGGAAACTACACACAGATTTATGGTAACTCTGCAGCCAGACAGTGACCTTCTCCTCTTATCAGCAGGACTGTCAGCGCAGATAACGCTGCGGCAGCTGCGG